TGTGTGTGTGTGTGTGTGTGTGTGTGTGTGTGTGTGTGTGTGTGTGTGTGTGTGTGCATGAAATGTATGTATTCGTTAAGCTTAACTAATTTCCTCAATAACAGTTGTTTTAGCGATTTATTGCATAATATCTCATATAGACACAGACCGATATACAAAATGCTTGAAATCTACAAAGAAAAATACAACTGAAAATTTTGAGGGAAAAAAGAAACAGAATAAAGCTCCTTTGGTAGCTTTTGTACTGCCAGCAGTGAGCTCAACATAAGCTGATATCTTTAGACCATTATTAGCTGGATCCAGTAAATGACGCAAACTCATTGTGCTTTTCGAAAGGCAGATTAACACCACCCTGCTAGGGTTACATGCCTCCCTAGGGGGTTGCAATCATATGCCTAATCCTTTGATCTCAAGAGGTAGTGATGATGATGATGGTGCTGCTGCTGCTGGTGGGAGCTTATAGAAGGACCTGTCTGTTTATAAAAACCCTGGACAAAACAGATTGTCCTTGATTGGTCTAAAAGGCTAAACTGTACAGCTGTGAACGATCAGCTGATGGCTAATTGTTGTAAGAGCAGGGTTTTGGGGAGGAGGACAATGAGGACAAGGTTTTCACAAAGATATCCTGTGTTGTCTCAAAGTTATTAAATATGAATATACAAATATGAAGCCTGATTTAATGGCTCTTAGCTTTCTTATAGCCTCAGTTTCCTGTTCTTAGCTGACAGTAGTGGCACCTGGTGTGGTCTTCTGCTACTGTAGCTCACCTGCTTCAAAAATTTGACATATTGTACATTCAGAGATGCTCTTCTGCATACTTTGATTGTAAGAAGTAATTAATGGAGTTTGAGTTGCTGTCTTCCTATGAGCTCCGTTCAGCTTATCTATGCTCCTCAGACTTTGACATCAATAAGACAGATTCACTCAGTGAACTGCAGCTCACTGGACATTTTTCTTTTTTGGAGATGGTTGTGAGGGAAAATACCAGTAAACAGGCTGTTTCTGAAAAACCCAGAGCAGCCTGTCTGACACCAATAACCATTCCACATCCAAAGTTACTTAAATTGCTTTTCTCACACATTATGATGCTTTATTTAGCCAGCTTTAATCTGTCACATTTTTAACAAGGATGTATGAATATTAGAAGGATCTAAAAATTGTGTTTGTTTGCTTATTTGTTCCCATTCTCCTGGTTATTTTTAATGATGTCCTCCATGCAGGGCTTAATATACTGGGAGTAGCGAATTCACATAGGTCTTTCATCTTACCTCGGCTACTAAATGTTATATGTTATAAACTAACATAAGGCTGATATCAGTCATTGTCACAAAACTTGAAGCAGAAAATATTTCAAAAAAATGTTTACTCTAAAGTAACTGTCGGGTCTATCAAAATACTTTCAAATTTAGCATACTTTGAATAGTTTTGAAAGTAAATGTGTAGCAGAACGTTAGAACCTCATACATATTCACTTTCTGTGCTATACAACGTGCCAAGAGAAGGACAAGTTATCATAAAATCAGCATTTTTGGGGGGCCACTTGCAAGCAAGTAAGTTCATGCACAATGAAGACCCTGACTGAGTCTCATAAGGGCATTTAACACTTTTAATGGTTATTATAAGAAGCACATTAGCAGAAGTAGAGAAAAGAATCTTAAGATTTCATTAATTTCAGTACAGCGAATAGGAATACAGGGCTTCAGGCTTCATCCATCTGCCTGTGTGTGTGTGTGTGTGTGTGTGTGTGTGTGTGTGTGTGTGTGTGTGTGTGTGTATGGGTGAGTGTGTGTGTGTGGCACAGCACATGCTTCTTTCTTTCTTTCCGAGGAGCGTGTGTGATGCTTTTGTGCTGATTTCATGGTTATTGTTGTGTTATTGTTGTGATCGGGCTGCAGGCTGGGGGGTGGAAGTAAGGCCCACCATCTGTCCTTTATTCGCACTATTGTCTTTCACACACACTACTATCACGACCTTCAACCCCTCTGCCTACAATAGGTCACCTGGACACACTCTTCAAATAAACCAACGGGCAAACATTAAAGTTTAATGCTAAAAGAAAATTTGGAGTAGACATATTTACACACAATGTGTGATTTCTTTTTAAGTGTAGAAGCAATTTTTTACATATGTGAAATTTCTAAGATTTTTTTTTTTTCAAATTCAGGGGTAAGCAGTTGTTCAGTGTTTTTAATATAATCGCGCAATTTGTTGTATTAGAGTAGATTGTGTACAAGTGTACATTTAAATGCCATCTCGTCTCTTGTCTGTTTAAATTGTTTGTATCTGTTCAAAGATCTGTTCAATAAGATACACGATTTCCTATAAATATATGTGTTTTAAATAAAAGTCTGCATGTTTTATGCATATACGTGTTGGCAGGGAAACGCCCAGCAGCCACTGTGTTAAAGGACAGGAAGCGGATTTTACTATTCGGCCACAATCCGAGTTTGGACACTTTACAAGAATCACCAAAACATAACCAGAAGTTCTTTTCAAAGTAAAAGCCGGGGGACGTCGTATAGAAGTTTAATAGAATAGAAGAATGGAATCTCCTTCCACTGTCATTGGACATGTACAACGAAATTCTGGTAACGCCACACCAACTGTTCAAGGATTAAAAATATCAATTGTATGACAGCAAGAATAAATAGCAGGCCAGAGGAGTATATACAAACAAGATGAATATACTAGAAGGCATAAAATAGAGAGGCACACATTAGAGGACATGGTTGCAAAGTGCTTGAAAGTAGTGCAATGGAGAAATGGAGAAAACACCCATATGATTGTAATGGGATCTCTTAGAACAGCATTTAAACTTTGATTATTGTTCCATGTTTTTATTTTGTTTCAGTGCATGTGTTCTGTTGAGTTGTATGTTTGTAAAATAAATACTTGCGGGAGTGATTTTTTTTTCTCTTGAGAATGGTATAAGATGTTATAATTATGATCCTAATTTATAACATAAGGGATACATCGTAATAAAAAAAAGAGGTGTGAGATGCAAAGCATCCACCTGGGGGAGAATTCTGCAACAGAAAAAAGGTAGTACAAATATAACTTCTTGGAAAAGAAAGGCTTTTATTAATCCTGGTTCGAAGCAGGACAGCATGGTGGTGCAGTGGATAGCACATTTCAGATCTGTGGTTGACTCTTAAAGCCAGCTGCGAGTGCTTGCTCTCCTTGTGTCTAGCTTGTATTATCCAAGTGGTCTCCTCCCAAAGCACCAAAACATGCTTTTCATGTTAAATGATGTTTCTAGATTTATCAGCATCTAAAGGTTAAACCCTACAATGGACTGGCGATCTGGGATGAGAACGTGTTGCACCCAGTGACAGCTGGTATGGGTTCCAGCCCTTCTGCAACCCTGAATTGGATAAGTGAGCAAGAAGATGGATGGATATTACAAGGCAAAGTTTTCACGCTTCTCCTTATAATATTACGGGCAGAAAAAAGCCAGTATGCTTTAGCAATTATTGTTTCTGTTATTTTTGTTTTTCTCTCTTCCCACGTTCATCACACTTTTTTTAAGCTGATGTGCTTTTATTTTGACGATCATACCGGAATTCCAGCGGCTTCACTCTTGATAACTGAACGTGGCGTCGTTGGCTACCCTGGGGTGAGAAAAGCACGGCTGTTGCTCGGTTTGTTCAGTGTGGGAGACTGCTGTGTGATAACAGTGTTTGTGGCGTCTTTGAACTGAAAAAAAAAACCAGGACTTTATAGACACTAGCTCTCCCCGCTTCGTAACACATAAGACGATGAATGGTAAGTCAACGAACGGCACGCTGGGGGGAATGGCCTGCATCGAGGGTCTACCGCCGCTGCCGAAGAGCCTGAGCGGGTTGCTGAACTCAAGCGGCGGCTCCTGGAGAGAAATGGAGAGGATGTACGTGAAGAAAACCATGATCCAGGACGACCTGAGCAGAGGCAGGAACAATGCCGATAACCTGCTGGCCAACAAGCCGGCCAACCTCGATGCAGCACTGGCTCTGCTGCGAAAAGAAATGGTAACATTTTCAGAGTGTTTTCCTTTATTTGTCGACAGGAAAGTGGTCCGTTTACCACTGCTGGTTTATCCTAGCGATTTACATTCACAACCATTCAACCAAAATCCCTAAAGAAACTGCAGAAGTTTTCTTTTTTCGGCTTTTGGACAAACTTGTGTGCATTTTAGCTGAGAAATTAAGACTTTTTGAAAACAATAGTCTTTTGATTGATTCGGCATACAAAATTAACCCGTTCTGCATTATATAAATAAATTATGAAGTTAAAAATATTGATTTATGTCCTGTCTGTTTGGGATTTTTGTTCAGTGAACATACAAATTATGTTCACTGTTCATTGTTATCACTTCTGTTAAGTGTGTTTTCTCCTCTGTTTATTAAAGACTCGCTAGTTAATTAACTTAACATGCCACCCAACCACCTAGAAGCACTTTTTTTAATGGACTCTGGTGTTAATAACAGCCTATATAAGAAGAAGGAAAAAAAGGGGATCAGGAACAGCTTTGCATTGGATGAGACAAATTAAGCCATTAGGCTTGTGCTGATTTGGATTCTAAGCTCATTTTAATACCTTTTAGCTTCAGTATAAAAGTTTCTATTGTGACATACAGAAACCAACACAAAATCCTTCAGTGAACTAATACCTGCTATCACATTTGCAGAGATGTAATCAGAGTGAAACTCTTACTGCACACTGTTTTACACTCCCTTGCCAGCAGCAAGGATTTTCATACTATCACCGGACCAGATTTCATTATTGAGGTAGATTCCCAGCAATCTTGGTTAATGCTTAACAATAGCTTGTTTTTCTTATGTGAAGTCACGTAGCTGAAAGGGGATAAACTGCTGCTGAAACTCTAGGCATTTGGATTTATTAATTTTTTTCCTAAATCTTTCTTTCCTAAATCCCACTGACTCTTTATGTCCTTTAGCCTTGGCAGAGCAGGTTCCTAACGTTAGCCTTATTGCTTTGCTGCTGTTAATGTATTACTGTGGGGTTGTTGTAGTTAATAAGTTGTCAGTGTCCTATATTTTTAAAGACTCTAAGCTTGTCCCTGTGCATTTTTAAAAAGCACAGTGTTTGGTGTGCGTTTTAGCTGCCTGTGTTATGCTTGACCACTGAGTGTGCCGTGCCTCTAAATTCAAACTGCACTGTCAGCTCAGCCGTGAGGTCAGCAGCAAAAATGCCCTTTACACACCATCATCGTGGCCTTGACACACCGATGTCACAGAGTCAGCTGAGGCCACAGGCGAGGATTATTTTTATTACTTTCTTCTCTTTTTGTTTCTTTGTTAGAGGTTAAATTTAGTGACTGTTTAGGTATTTTACTTGAATAATTCCTTTACAGTCACTCTTTTGTTGCTTATCTTTCTGTTTATGTGCTAAACGGTTGAGAAATAAATCAGATTTTCACTAATGCCAAGTTATTAAGGTGATTTGCCAGACAGATGTTTTTGGAGCTAAAACAATGAATTCATTCATCTATATTTAAAAAATAAATTTGCTATTATGCCGGTAAAAGCCCCACAGGCCCATTTTATTATTAAATGGGCCTGTGGGAACCCTGGAAGATTTACTTGCTGTAGAAAGATCCTGGTTACTGAAGGCTCAGAAGTATAAGACTGAGCTTTTATTTGTAGGCAATATTGGCCACTGAAGGATGGTTGGAGAGTTTAAGTGGTGCAACTGGTGTAAATTTCATCATTTAAAGGAAAACTTGCTAGGCTCCATGTTTGTGTCCTTACACCCAGCTTGTTGTGGCACTACACTATAAGGGCACCTGCTATGCATATGTCCGTGAAGTAATTTAGAAAATGAAAGCAGAGCCGCTTGTTCGTGGTTCCTGTAGCTGTTTGTGTTCATGTCAAGCGATTATAATCCCCGGTTATTAGACAAAATGACACGTTTAAAAAATTTGTAGAACATTATCTCTGGGTTTCTTAATTATTAAACTGTGAACAATTAAAAAGGCAACAAGCTGCTGAAAAGTAATCTAATAAGCTAATGAGTTAGCTGCAGCTGTACTTCCCTGGGTTTTTTAATGCTAATCCCTATACTGCCCCCTGCAGGTGGGTTTGCGTCAGCAGGACATGTCCCTGCTGTGCCAGCTGTGGTCGCTCCACGAGTCCATCCAGGAGTACAAGGGGAGCTGCCAGGACCTTAGCGCAGCCTCCAGCCTCAGCATGATGGAGAATGGCTACTTTGACGAGGATGACGAGTATTACCCGGAGCCTGGTTCCACTCCCACCGGGGAACAGCCGGATGGAGACATTGGAGATGGGATGGCAACAATGGGGGCAGCCAAGAATGGGAGCGGCAGTGGCAAAGGGGACAGCTGGGACTCCTTTCGCGTTAACATCTGAGGCCTTGTTGTCAGCATTTTTCTTAGTGTGGATGCATATTTTTGGGTTGACAGACTGGATTAGGCTGGAGGAGAAACCTTTTTGGCCTCCAGGGAGTGAGTGGCTGGTGAGAGACAACAGACTATGGCGTCTCGTGGAACTGTAAAAATCCAGCTACCTTAAACACCTCCTCAGGTCAAACATCCGCCTGCTTGTGTTGCAGAACGTTGTTTCTGCAGCGTGACCAGGAGCTTCATCAAACTGCAGATCTGAGCGATCAGATATTTTGTGAAGTTACTCTCTTAACAACCTCTGAAACACTCAGGGGTTGGGATCAATTGTATCCAGCGACTCGATATAGTCAAAATTCGGCAATATACATATATATATACACACACACTTCTTTTTGTAAACAGCTTTATTGCTGCTTCTATGTCCGTTTGTTTTGTTAGACAGTCACTTTCTTTTTGGCTGAACTTTTTTTTTTTAAATTTACATATACAAAAATATATGAACAAAGTTTTATTATTTATTATATAATATAAATAACAAAATATTTGCTTTCCTGTTACTCTGACATTTTCTACTGCACCGTTCCTCAGCATTTACAGGTTGGAAAGAATCCCAGAAATCCAGAGCTTTGCAATCAGCATTGGTGCAAAAAGATGACTGACTCTGTGGACATATTAATGGAGACAGTGTGTGTGTTTCTTCTAAGTGGTGAAACCATTAATTTACATCAACCCCTTGGGGTCCAACCAGAAGTAGTAGTACGAAGAAAGAGATGAGGTCCTCATATCCAGTGAGTTTGTGTGCAGGTATGAGGTCTTCCTTTAGGTGGAGCAGATATCTGCTCAGGGAATGTGAAATCTTCAGAATGCTGGAAACAGTTTTAACTGTTTGCAGAGGTGAAAAACCCCAAGCCCAGCGTGCTGTGTTGCAGATATAGTGCTTCAGCACTTTACAGGCATATCAGACATGTCTCTGTTCTCAGACTTTGTAGTGTTCAGGACACATCTGCCTGAATTTAACTTTCTGCTTTAATATTATCTATCTTTAAGATACATTTACTTAAAGATTAAAACAGAACTCAGTTTATTTCTGGATCTTGGTTTCATTGTATTTATCAATTTAAGTGGGGGTCCGCCCTAATCAAGGGTTGGCTGGTTCAAACACTGAACATTCAGATATTCGTTTCTTGAGGTCAGTATTAACATGAATAGAAATGCAAAGACTACCTAAGTTGAAACAAGAATTATTCTTCAAAATAATAGAATTATTCTATTATGGATGATAATGAGCATTAAAAGAAATTATGAAGCCACATACAAATATGGCCAAGAGCTGAGCTGTGATCTGGTAGCTGGAACATTTTTCATTATGGAAACAAAAAATAAAAAATCTACACGTTTTCTCACTTTTTCATGGTGCAGTTTGTTTTTAGACACTTTTTTTTAAATGGGACCTATTGTGCTGATATCACTTCCATGCTGGCTTTGCATGATTCACAGTTTACAGTAATCTTTCTTTGAGTTTAAAAACAAACAAACAAACAAAAACCCTTGCCCTTCATGGGGATTTCTTACTGACCTCCTTTTTTTATTGATTGATTTTGTTCCTTTTAGAAACATTTTTGCATAATAGGTCCCTTTGAACTTTTTCTGGTCCCAGTGGCCTTCAAATATCACCCACAGTGTAAATAAACATCTGTAGCTCTAAACCTAGTAGCAACTATCACATGAAAACCCGGTGCTTTATACTCTTATGCATCGAGATCTTAACCAATCTCATTTTAGCGTCAAGTGCTCTGTTAAGCGTGACAGATGCCCGTGCAGGATTAAGCTCATTTTTAAGTCATCCTTGAAGAATATAAATCTGATTATATCAGCATTTGGTCATCTTTGCATACGTTATAGGGGCTCTTTAACGATCTCTGCTTCCATTACAATATGACGGTGGTCATTAATTAGATTGTAACAAAAAAAAAAAAGTGCTTTTGTTTTTGCTTTGGTTGTTTTTTTGTTTTGTTTTTTTAATCAGAAGAAATTGCCTTCATTGCCTCATCTATAATAAAAAAACAACTAAGTTAAAATTCCTTCAATCTAAAATCTAAACAAAATCTAAAATCTTGACTGTTTAAGACTTTTGGATGTGAAAATCCTCTTTGTAAACACATGAATGGTCTACTCAGGCTTCCTAAGTATCTAAACTCTGCAGCAAAGGTCTCAGCTCAGCCTGTAGCATACAACACAGCTACAGACACAGCACAGCAGCTGTGCTGTCAATCATAAATAGAGTTTCTGAACTCACCATCGCTTTGAGAAGATATCGAGGGTTCATCTTTGCACAAATGTGCTCATATTTCGTCACCTGTCTGTACGTCAGTCCGCTATTTGAACACAAACCAAAGAGAGTACGCCACTCAGCATTGTATTTGGTTGACGTTGCTGATGTAGGCGGGATCTGGCTATGTTGAACTTAAAACTTAACATCTGGTGTCTTGACGAATGTCGTTAGGAGTTTTTTGGAGCTGATGAATGAAGGACATTTGGTTGGCCTTTTGAACAGTTGGCTGCCTTCTTCCCCACTCAAAGACCAGCGTTTTCAGTTGACTGAATTAAAATGTCACCGACCAGTGAAAGTCTAGAGGATTGATTTATGACAAGTATGTGAAGAGTCAGATGTGTCGCAATAACATGTGGATATGAAACCATGTTTCCGCAAGCACAGTAACCCTTGATCTTCTAACTTCTCTCTAAAATCTGTCGACATCAAGAGTTTCTGATTTAACCGGAGTAGTCTGACATTTTGGGAAAATGTTTCAGTTACATACTTCATCTGTTAAACGTAAAGTCAAACCAGCACAATCACCAGATGGGGAAGTAGCTAGCATTACTATGTCTTACTGCCTCCATTTCCCAGACATGGATTAAGCTGAGATAGACCATAAACTTTTTCCCCTGGAGGTCCTCCTAGGATTTAGTCTGGGAGGAGGTTTAATCCGTGTTGGAGAGTAACAAAATCCACTGGCAAGCACTTTTAAAGTTGCCACTTTGACATAGTTTTGTTATCCATATAACCTGGACCTGGTGTGTGAAGTAATTTTAAACATTACCATCACATGAGGACACAAAGTGAACAATGGTTGATTGTTTTTTGAGCAGGATGAAGTTTGGGGTGGAGCAAAGCTAAACTCTGTTGTCACCATAAAAGGATGCAAGTTCTCCTTGAGGTTTATCATATATATTTTTTTCCTGATCTAAGCTTGGACAAACTTTTTTTTTTTGCCTCTTGCATATGTAACTACTCACTTTTATTCTGAACCTTTCCATAATGCATTTGCAACTTTCTGACTAGTCTTATTATTTAACAGAGTCCATTGACTTTGGTTCCAGTGTTCTGATAAGTTGAAATGATTGTTCTCTGTTTCTCTCTGTTGCTTTTTATGATCCACATTTAATGAAACTTAACTTTGTCTGTGAAGTACACCTGTATGCGACTGCTGCCAACATTTCTAGTCGGATTACACATTTAGGGTCAGGTAAAGCACCTGTTTTACTACTGCAGTCTACTGCTAATCTGAAGCCGAAAGCACGTTTGATTAAACGGTTTTAAACCAGTGACGTTTAGGACACGAGTCACATCTTGATCCCAGGATTTCTATTGGATGTCTACCCAATTAGTGCCTTTTTATAAGATGTTCAAGATGGGAATGAACATATACCATAAGTCATATGAACTGATTGGCCTGTACTTTGGTTTTTAAAGCTGCTACATGTGGAATTTGAAACACAATGACTTTAGCAATCTCACAAAACTCATTCTGAAGCTGTGCCAGAAATAAATGAATGTCATGCTGACATGTCGCTCTCCTCCAACTCCAACGAGTCCCTAATTTGGATCTGTTGTTAATTATACTCTTCTCTGTCAAAAGATTGTTTGGAATTTTATTGGCAGGGATGCAGCTGTTGGGAACGGTGTACTGCTAACACCCACTGAAATTTGAGTTGCTCTAGCAAAAGTGAGACATCTCTCTTCCTGTTTTGGTTGATGCTTAGAAGAAATTGTACACCTCAAAATAAAAGGACCCTAATGTATGGCGGTTATTTCTTCAGAATACAACTTTAAAGTACACGTAGCAATTTTACCGTCAAGAACTTGTATCAGCCTTAAAGTCAGCTGAGGCATTTGCAAACCGAGCTAGGTGGTGCACTCCTCACTTGTTCTTCAAGTCTGTTTTTTGCACTTGTTTGTGCCTGTTGCTGTGTTAAATCCCCAAAAATACGACTACCTGACCCTCTTTGAGTTTGTCACTACTACACAGGTGCATGGTGCTCTCTGTACGCTTACACTATTGTAGCTTAACCCAGCACAAGAGAGCTAAGAAGAAGCTTTAAATTGAACACCAGCAAATTGTACTTAATATTGTACCGTTGCCACGTGTGTTGCCTGTTCTGTACACTAAAATATGCCCCTTTTTCACATGATTATTGGATGTGTAACATGGAGATTTCATCTCAGGGTAAACTTAAAAAAAATTTGTTGTTGTTTTTTTGGGTGGTTTTGACTCCTGACAAAATAGCATACTTCCCTTAAACAATGGCTCTCGAACTAAAGGTGAACAATGCTATGTCACACCCACTTACAGTGAGTCATTATGATTCAATGGTTTGGTGCAAGTCTCATAATCAAAGGGCAAACTTTGCACCAACTTTGAACAATCAGGAGGCGAAGACGCCAAGTGCAAAACAACCACAAAAGCTTGACATAGTTTGACTTAAGTGCGGATTGCTGCTGCAATCACGGTCACGCCTGAGCGTTCACACCCATGCTGTAGTGGTTGTGAAAAGCGTTTTGGAAAACCTAGTGAGGGTTGTGGCACTTGAATGGAGAATAACTTGAACATTACTTCCAATGAGGAAAAAAAATAGCTGAAGGTGTGTAATGTGTGTGCGCCTTTTCTGCAGCTGACCAAATCTGACCTGTGTCCAAACCTGGGTTTGAAAACGTGATTGAGCCAAGACTTCATTATTTTACAAGTGACATGTTTATCAGTAGGCCTGAGTATGCAGATGTAACCTATTGAGGAAATCAGAGAAGTAAATGCAATTTCATTCGTGTTTGTTCTTTATATCTCTTATCGTAATCGTTCATTAACTTGCTTTAGTGAAAAGAAGGATTTTATGTATTGTTTTTTTTGAATAAGTAACATTTGGAGAACACGTGAAGGCTGTGTTGCCGCCATCTATCATTCCTCCTGTTCTCTTATCCATGAATGACCACACTGCTGTTTGTTTGGACAGTACTCTCTCATAGTTATACTGTTATGAATTTAATAAAGCGGTTCTGTACTTTTCAGGTTTTTGGAGTGATGTTTTTTTTATGAGGGAAATATTGATCGTGCCTTCAGACTTCTAAATTAAACTGACATGAATAGCAGCTCAACAATTAAAGCACAGTTATGTTTTAGTAGAATTTAATTTGATACTTTGGGGAGATATGGGATCTATGGGTATATTAATGATTGTACCAGATCCAATGACATCCTCTCCAGGTGTTTCTGAGATAAAGCATTTATAAGGATTGTGAAAGTGAGCTTATAGGAACCACGTCCTTAGTTCCATGACACAAGTGGCTGTAGATATTATGCTCTTGGTTGTGTTTTCTATCGATCTCTATTTTCATCTTATAACTGAAAAACATCTGGAGAGCATTTCATTACATCTGGAATAAACGTTCACTTGGACGCAAAAATCAACAGGTCAGGTTCATCAAAGGTCAAATCTCTCTCATTTTTAAGTTATTTCCCAGGCCCACCTAGAGGGATTTATGTATATTTTTTTAACATCCAGCCCAAAAGTTAATTTGGACTTGGGGCTGAACTGATTAGATTTTGGTCATCAAATTTTACTATGACCTCACTCCCGAGTGCAACTAGAGAGAATTTCAGTACATTTGGAACAAATGATTTTGGAAGTAAAGGTTCGGATATTTCACCTTCTTAATCTACTTACTTACTTTCATGTATGTAAAATTTAATGTTCTAATGAGATTTATGACCATTGGTCAAACACATAACTCAGGAACAGAAGGAGGATTGTGACCATATTTCATAATTGGTATAGTTCACTGAATTGGTAGCACCGACCTTCACATTATACATTTCATTTGGACAGACTGGCTGGCAGACACCTGTAATGTGATCATTCTGGTTTGAGCAGAGTAGCCAGCAGCTCTGTGGGGCTGCAGATGCTTTGAGTAAAATGCAAATG